CCCGTACACACCCCAACGCGTGGTCCTAGAGTATCCGTACACACCCCGGCGTTGGGTCCTAGAGTACCCGTACACACCCAGGCGTAGGGCCCGGTGTGGAGTCAGATTCGGTGGCGGTGACGTGCACACACCCCGGCGTGGGGTCCTAGAGTACCCGTACACACCCCGGCGTTGGGTCCTAGATTGTCCGTACACACCCAGGCGTGGGGCCCGGTGTGGAGTCAGATTCGGTGGCGGTGACGCGCACACACCCCGGCGTGGGGTCCTAGAGTACCCGTACACACCCAGGCGTTGGGTCCTAGAGTACCCGTACACACTCAGGTGTGGGGCCACCGTGTGGAGTCAGACCCGGCAGCGGCGACCCACTACGGCCGCGGTAATGTCCGCCTAGCGCTCCAATAAAAACGGTGTAACGACGCGCCTCTCGCTCCCTTTTTAGAATTGCCCTGTAAGAAAACATGTCAAAAGATCAATCAACGAGCACTTCGCCGTAACAAATCGTGATGGCAAATTGGTTCACTCCGCTCTGTCTTCATATAACGGGTCAATTTACACCAACCGCTGATAAATGCGATCAAGAAGCGGATGATGGTTTCTTGACCCAAACGGACGCACACCGCTGGCAGCGTGCACCAGCGTATCACATCCTTCCCCACCTCATGTAACGCGCTCGGGGACCACGAACCGGGCCCGTGCTGCTGATCCTCCCAGAGTCAGCGCCTGGCGCCGCCACTGTTGTGACTGGCGCGTGCCGCCCTCACTGCGTGAGTGAGCCTGTCAACAGATGGCGCTGGGAGAGACGCGCCGATTCAGCGTCACGTTTTGCTGATTGCAACGACCTTGGCGCGAGTGGAGAAGGTTTTCCGGCGGTCCTCCCGACCGCTAAAGAACAGTCTGAGCCTCCGTCACCGTGGGCTTGTTACAGGCTCGAGCTATTGTTAGCTGACACTAGGGCGGCATACTTTTCTGAGCAAACAGGTCGCTGGCCAGTACAGCACAATGGTTGCAGATAGACAGGCATTGGACATTTTTACATTCTTTCTATCTCTCTCCTTAATTTTTGAAGAAAACTCAATCATATATAGCCTGAAACTTGGATGTCACGTGCAAGGTACATCGTTTTGAGTTTTTGTGTGTAACTGTGGCAAAGTGGATATATTTATGTGAATATTGCTGAGAAACCTCTTGTAAGGAGCCACGTGGAGTTAAATGGCGTCGGTCTACTCCTCCCGCTGCGCTGTCGCCGTCAGTTTCGAGACGCTGAACGAACCCTCGGCGACTGGCACTGTCGACATTGGGTGTGTGCTGACCCACCAACCCGTCATGTAACGATGTCCATTTAAAGGACCGCAGGGCACGCAGGCTCAGCCCGTCAGCGGGCAAACACGGCACGATGACACTGACAGATAGCCATAGGCCGCTGAAGAGATTTCGCACAATAAAGCTCCTCCTGCTGAATAATTCACACATTGTAGCAAGGGTGTGCGTAAACTTGTCAGATTTCTCGGAGCTATTTTCCAAGTCAAGGCCGTTGGTTTCGTGCGTTGGCGCCGTGCGCTTTGGCGCAGTAATTCCTCACAATCACCAAACCGGCCGATGAGTCAGCCGTGTCGAATGCGGATGAGCGCCGCCATTGAGAAAGATGCTCCTGCGAACTGTGACCGACCAATCCAGCACGAGTGACATGTGCGCTGGTCATGCATCGCGGATAGGTTATCAACGTCCTCCGCTCGCTTTTGACTTATGCTTGGCTTTCTCAACCATCGTTTTCGCGTTACAGGGCACGCTGTTCAACATGTTCACCATCGGACCTCTCCTGTACGGCCTGGCCAAGCTGGGTGCCATGGGCTCCAGCATGTTCCCGGCCTACGCCAACTACGACATCGCCAACATCAGGTCAGTGGCGCCGGCACCGAGGGCCACCGAGGCTATACTACGCTGAGGTGTCTGCGGAGCCGAACCCCCGGGTCCTGACCGGGTGCCGGTGGCTACGCCAACACGATACCTATGATGGCTTGGTAATGGCTGCTGGCTGTCATTTAGCGCATTCTCGGCCTCCATCAAAGAGCGCATTGACGTCATGTCCCGTCATGCCTGCTTTGTACGTTTTGACCTAAAACCGTTGGGTTCCGGATTCCTGTCCTCCATTGTTCAGTTTGCGGTTTAATCTGTTTCTTCAGGGCTTCAGCAGTGCCACGTGTATCAAATGAATGTTCGCCTCTTTAAAAAAAACAGGCATGCATTATGCATGTAAATTATTATTACGTCGGCGCATCCGTAGCGTTTGTAGTGTGTAAATTGCCCAGGTCATTATGAAAATGTTATCACTACTGGGACATTCTGATTCTGGAAACAATAAGATTGTAAAAATGTGTTCGAGTGGCTGCTAACACCACCTTATGGCCTTCGACACCATTTATTTTTCGCCGCCAGCTTCTCCTGCCAAAATGCATTCTTGGTTTACATGATATTTGCCCTCTGGAATAGAGCAATGGCTAAAACTATGCTTGTGATAGAAGCCGTTTGTGGCAAAAAAAAAATCATTGGGGAAGGTAATACAGGTAGTGTAAGCAACGCCGTTGCTCAGCGCAAAACACACTCAGCGCCACAGCCAACCGAGGCGGTATTCACCACTGCGGCAATGCAGTCGCCGTCCCAATTCCGTGGCGCCGCAGTAGGTCACCCCGTACCGCACCGCCCCCTCACCAGCCGGTACATTTGTCTGCCGTGTCGCCGCTAGCCCCCTGCCGAGGGCCGGCCGGCCGTCACGGTCACCAGCGGCTCGCAGCGGGGCCACTGTGGCCGGCCAGCCCGCGCGGCCGCGGCCAGCGCTCAAGGGATTAGGCGGGTCCGCGTGCTGGCCAAGCCACGGGCCGCCGCCGGGGCCTTAAGCCGGCGACCGCCTCACCACCAGCCGGGCACTGGCTGTACTGAGCCCTGCCGCTCGTACCGCTGCCCTGGGAACCACGTGCGGAGGTGTTCGGAGGGACATGGCTGGCAGGGCGGGTGGTTCGTAAGCGGATTACGCTGCGGCACCTAGCGCACCGATCTACGCAAATACATCGGCCGCTTTAAAAAAAAAAAAAATGACGGTGCGAAGAAGCCGGGACCCAGAGGCACACAAGCTCATGCGTGCAAACAATCGAATATTTCACCAGCTCCTGTAGCTGGGGTCAGACGAATGGCTCGCATGTCGCTGGTCATCAAGGGCGTTTGAGCCAAGACAGGTCAGCACCAAACCCAGACAGCGCACAGAGGAGATGCTTAGTCTAATTGGGCTTCAAAGAGCACTAGAATTTTTGTTTTGCTCAGAGCATATGGGGAGATGCTTTTGGCAATTGCTTACAATTGCTGGCTGCGCAATCTAACGCGTCATCAAAACAGGTGATGCATGCAGAGAAAGAAAATGCATGGGTTGGAGGAATTTGGATGGTTTTATGTGTCTTTAACAGCACCGTGAAAAATCAGTGGCGACAGCTTTCTGTTTTGTCTTTGCTATATGTCTTTGACAGCTCTGTTAAAACTATCCTTCTCCGTGATAACGGACTACACATTCTAATGGCCGCCTCAATTACTCCGGATTCCCAGAGCTTGCATTATCCAGCATTAATACATAATCAATATGCAGGCTACACCGCTAATTTCGTTTGGCTGAGAGGCGTCCCTGGCGCCACTGCGGCGTTTGCTTCGGAAGCGTTTCTGGCGCCACTGCGACGGGCCGAGTGTGGGCCTCGAGTGCCTTCGGACATTCTGTGCTGAATGCCTGTGAACATCTCCTAGATAATGGAACAAGCTTAACACTCCCATGGCGGTGATGTGTTGTGTGAGCCGAGCATGCTTACAGTCGCGGTCCGTGGTTCAGGTGCTACGCATGCTTACAGTCGCGGTCCGTGGCTCTGGTGCTACGCCTGCTTACAATCGCGGTCCGGGGCTCTGGTGCCACGACTGCTTACAATCGCGGTCCGTGGCCCAGGTGCTACGCCTGCTTACAATCGCGGTCCGTGGTTCAGGTGCTACGCCTGCTTACAGTCGCGATCCGTGGTTCAGGTGCTACGCCTGCTTACAGTCGCGGTCCGTGGCTCAGGTGCTACGCCTGCTTACAATCGCGGTCCGTGGTTCAGGTGCTACGCCTGCTTACAGTCGCGGTCCGTGGTTCAGGTGCTACGCCTGCTTACAGTCGCGGTCCGTGGCCCAGGTGCTACGCCTGCTTACAATCGCGGTCCGTGGCTCAGGTGCAACGCCTGCTTACAATCGCGGTCCGTGGCTCAGGTGCTACGCCTGCTTACAGTCGCGGTCCGTGGTTCAGGTGCTACGCCTGCTTACAGTCGCGGTCCGTGTCCCAGGTGCTACGCCTGCTTACTGTCGCGGTCCGTGTCCCAGGTGCTACGCCTGCTTACAATCGCGGTCCGTGGTTCAGGTGCTACGCCTGCTTACAGTCGCGGTCCGTGGCTCAGGCGCTACGCCTGCTTACAGTCGCGGTCCGTGGTTCAGGTGCTTCGTCTCCTGCAGCAACTGACTGCTCAACCCTTTGAGCTTCTTTGCCAATTCGAATGACGTCAGTAAGCTACCAAAGCCACCCACGTATTCAGTAAGCTGTCTCGTTTATGAGGACTGGCCACCTGCTGGGTGCACCGGGCAACACGCGATGTATCCCCACAAGCTGCTCCACGCATCAGATTCCTGTAGCTCTCACGCGTCTTGGGTTTTTTACGTCCTTTTGCAATGAGGATGCAAACAGTAACGCCGTGGCTTGCTACCGCAGTTTGGTGCAGATGCTGACCTTTTTCGTCGCTGATCGTGGCGTGGATCCTGTGGCCGTGCTGGCCATCTTCCAGGAGGTCGGCGTCAACAAGGACCTCTACTTCCTCGTGTTCGGGGAGAGTCTGCTGAACGGTCCGTGGCAGGAGACGGCGAAATATCGACACTATAACATCATGACTTTGTGTTGCCATTGGAAAAGTGGATGATGCTGGGAAATGTAGATCATAATACTATTCTAGGAACAAAGACTTGTGTCGAATGTTTTCATAAGCCCATGCTTGTGGTTGTCCATCTGGAACAGATTGTGGTCATTTTCTGTTTGAGTAATACATCGCATCTCCTTTGAGCGAGAACACTACAATCTCAACCAATTATGAGCATCGCATGTGCCGACGACCACAGCGCAAGCGTAATGCTCCCCATACTAATAGATGACAAGCATTCTTTCATATCTCTAATTGATGTCCAGATTACACTTTTATACAACACGTGAAATTCGTCTTCGATGGTGGTTAAGGAAAGATTCTCGATGTGACTCATTTCAAAATTAGTTTTTGTGAAGGAGACCAGCTAGCGGAGCTATGCTGATGATACAGGCGCAGAGAACAGCATCGATCCCGCGGCTGAGCTGCAGCAGCCTTGTTACTGCCTGTCCACAGACGCTGTCACGGTGGTGCTCTACAACGCGATGGTGGCATTCGCCGGTCAGGATGGCGAGGTCATCACCTACGACCAGCTACTGCTAGCCGTGGCCGCCTTTTTCTGCGTGTCGCTGGGCGGCCTGACCATCGGCATCATCTTCGGCGTGCTCACCGCCATCATCACCAAGCACACGTCCGAGCTCCCCGGTGAGACGACCGGCCTCACACGCAGTCCGATGTCGTGCCTGGCCGGAGGCTCAGACAAGCGGGACGCGTAAGAGGCCCCGGCCGCTGGCGCGAGGACCGTTCTCGTTGACAAGCAGCCCTCCTCTCCCCCCCCCCCTCCCTGAATTCTAGCGAGGCACGGCGCAATTTTTCGTATGATCTTCGCGATCAGCTGATGACAGGACTTATTGGCCTACGCCAAAGACTTCGCCGAGGCCTGTCAACCTTAAAGAGTTGGTACGATGCAGATTCATCCCGGTCCCATTAGCCGGCCTCATACGTCCAAATTACAGTAAAATTCCGTTTTGTAATAATACCCACGCGCATGCCACGGACGAGGTAACCGCACAGACACGCTCGCGCGCTCCACTCTCTCAGCGTAGTACGACATTGATGACAACACTGCTGACGACATTGAGCGATGCATTCACATTGCGTTGGCCTTGACCGTCACGTCCTGCCGGTGTCCGGCCAAAAAAGTATGACCTGAGGATGTGAACCTGCTGACAAGTCACGTGACATTGTACGCCCGGGGACGCCGGACCTTCGGCGACAGACCACCGGACGTGTGTGGTGACCGGATGACCGGACGTGCGTGGTGACAGACCATCGGACGTGTGTGGTGACCAGAGTGTGTGGTGACGGTGTGAGCGACAGAGATGCCGCATCGTAAAGCGCAGCGGTGGTTCTATGACAGATTCATAGAGGACAGGCTCACTCCGAAGGGCTTAGGCTAGTGAAAAAGCCACGGCATTTGTGGCACCGCCTATCGGGTCGCGCCTCCGATGCTCAGCACGGCCTCTAAGTCCCGGGCATCTGGCACTAACTAGCCCGGCCGATGACGTCAGCCTGCAGACCGCACCCGGCTGCTGCACACTTTGGGTTCCTAGACCCATGACCGGCTGAAGGCCATTCCTGTGCAGTGGCTTTCGGCTGCTAGACGCGGAGGGTAACCGTTGGGGAACACACGCGAGACGAGTCCTCTGCATCTCATCCGATTTCCTGCTGGTTGGCCTAACAACATGTTTACTTTTTGCTTCAATGATAAAATGCTCCTCCGGCAGGCAAGCTGTCCGCAAGGTTGTCGAAGCAAAACGCTTGGCTTAAAGAAACAAAAACGCAGCCTTCACGGCTAATACATCTTGCCTGCCACTGGCATCGCACCAGAGGGGCGGTCAAACCACTCCTGCTGTCAGGGCGAGCCAGGGTCACCGGGGTCATGTCGTACCTGTCGACCAGTCGACATTGAAGGGGAGGGCGCCCAAATACGGTTACGGACGTCACTGGCCAGCGTCGTGACGGTCGTGGCGTCAACTGTGACGCAGACCTCAAGCCACCTACGTCAGCTCCGTCTGCCCTCGCAGAAACACGTGACGCAGCTGTGGGGCCAGGTTGCTGGTGATGTTGAGCCAGCAGACTTGAGCACCAGAGACTGGGTGTCACCTGTGTGAGAGTCGGTCACGGGGGCCGAACCGTGTGGCGGATAACCAATGGGACGACGCACGGTGAACTGAAGCGGAGCGAACAGTATGAGCGGACGTGACCTTAACGCCATTGCCCAGTCGCTAGCCGTGGACAGCGGCATGCGCCGCTGCAAGGGCTTTACTGGCATACAATACTCGCTGAAGGAGTGCTTTGTCGCTCCGTGACGCAGTGGGTGGAGGGCGTGACGCGTGACAGAAGGCTCCCTGCGGAGCATGCCTACAGTGGGCCCTTATCAGGTCACGCGTGGCTGAAAGGTCGTGGTGGGAGGTGGGTGGACCATGCTGCACTCATCTGACGGCCTTCCCCACTCCTGGTTGACGGAAATTACTGCAATCAGCAGAGAACCAAGTCCGCATGGTTGCCAAGGATACAGGATGATTTTCCGTCAGATTACGTGCAGCAGCCATGTCGAGTGTAAGGGATTACGTCGTTGAGTGCTGTTGTTTTTTCAGTGGTGGAGCCGCTATCTCTGCTGGCACTGTCGTACCTGGCCTACCTCTCAGCGGAGCTGGTCCACTTCTCCGGCATCATAGCCACTGTCGGCTGTGGAGTGGTTCAAGCACACTATGCCACCAAGAACATCTCGAAGAACTCATACATTACCATCAAGTATTTCGTCAGCATGGCTAGGTGCACACTACTTTTTTATATCTCATTCTAGCAATATGCTTTTGCTTAGCAGGTGTCAGAAGCATTAAAGCGTGTTTAAAACTGAGCAGCGCAAGTCAGGAGCTGCTTCGCTTGAACTGAGGATGCTCAAGTGAAATCCATATCCGTTGCCACAAAAGGCGCCGCTTCACGGCGTGCCCAACGGGCCGAAAAGAGTAGCTGTGCGGTCAGCATCACCGTCTGAGCCCCGTCTCCGCCGGCAGCTCCACTAGCGACACCATCATCTTCATGTTCCTGGGGATGGTGCTCATCAGTGACGACCACCGCTGGCACACGGGCTTCTGCCTCTGGACCCTGGTGCTGTGCCTCGTCTTCCGATTCATTGGTAAGTTTGTGCCGCGTCTTCCAATTCGTCGGTAGGTCTGTGCCGCGTCTTCCGATTCGTCGGTGGATTTGTGACGTGTTTTCCGGTTCGTCGGAAGTTCCGCGCTCCGGTTCCGCGCGACGCTGCAGTGTCGCTGAGTGCACTGGCTATAATATTGCTCTCTCACTGCTTCCGAGCCGTCTCTGATGTCTCTGCTGGCCGCTGAGAACCGCACCTGCTCTCTTTGTACCGCGCCTTTGTGCCTCTGACCGTCGTATATGTCTTCGGTTTAGTCGGGTAGGGAGACGATATCTCAGTGGCCTGTTTGGATATATATATATATATATATATATATATATATATATATATATATATATATACTTGCATGTGTGTGCGTGCGTTACTTCACCGTCTTGAAATAATGAAACACACATATCACGCACCAACTCCCCTTTGGTCGTCTTGTTGCTTGCAACTACACGAACTAATTTATAATTTCGAACACACATTCCCATTGAATGGCTAACTCAACGTTTCTGAAGAGGCCTGAAGCTCCTGCGAGACTTTGTAGCTACTTGTATGACGTCATCAAAACGTGTTGTGACACTGGCTGTCGTCCGGCAGGCGTGTACCTCCTCACAGCGCTGGCGAACCGAAACCGGATGAACCGCATCGGTCGGAAGGAGCAGTTCATCATGGCGTACGGAGGCCTGCGCGGCGCCGTCGGCTTCTCGCTGGTGGTCATGCTGGGCGATGACGTCATAGACAAGGAGACGGCCCAGGTGTTCGTCACCTGCACACTCTTCATCGTCCTCTTCACCGTGTTCGTGCAGGTGCGGTGCGGTTGAAGGGGTGTGCGTAGTTGTATATGGCTTCCGGACTGGACCCGCTGATTGGTCGCAGCGATCCGTTGAACCGCCGCGGCTCTGCGCGTGTTGTGCCGGAACCCGGGCTAACTGTGGCGTCCGCTGCTGTCAGGGGTCTACCATCAAAGTTCTCGTCAACATATTCCGCATCAAACTGGACGAGAACGAGGAGAAAACCTTGGCGGAGGAGATTGTAACGTCTTCGCTTGACCACATTGCCGAGGGCATTGAAGAAATTGTCGGCTTTGGAGGCTTGAATCGATTGAAGGTGAGAGGCGAAATGGCATCGCGAGTAGCTTGATTTATTTGAAAGTAGATGCGTTATCGGAATGGCCAGACTCGGTGCTTTAGTGGTTGTTGAAGGGATTGTGTTTGACAGCATCTTTGCGCGAAACTGACTGCAATCCCAAACCACTGTGCGTAATGTTGATTTATAATCTACTTCCTGATGCTTTGATTTAATTCGCTGTTGCGTAATTCCAACTTGTGCTTACTTGTGTTGCTTTACAAAACCGATTTTGACATGCTTTCTTGAAACCTGCGTTGACTAGCGGGCCAGCACCAAGACAGACCGTTTGGCTTCATGTACAACTCCGCCTGCCTAGCTCTAAACCGATATCAAAACAATCCGCGCAAATAGTTTCAGCCACACGTCACATACCTGACGCGCCAGCTATGGTGGTGGGACGGTGTTGTTCGATGCTGGATGCGCACTCGGGCAGTACAAAGCCAAGCAAGCCCCACGAGGGAAACCTCGCGAGAAGCTCATTTCACGTCGCGGATTTCCGACGCGTTTCACGCGGCATTTATCGGCGGCAGGAGCGGCTGGAAACGTTTGACGAGAACTACCTGACGCCGTGGCTGGTGCACACGGCACCAATGTCGGCTCTGGCGCGGCTCTACGACAAGCTGGTGCTGGACGAACACTACGCCAACCTGTACGGCCCGGCCGCCGTGCTGGAGACGCAGAAGGACTACGACACCAACTCCGTAGTGTCCTCGCTGCCTGCGTACCCCTCGCTTGGCCACAGAGACGTGAGAATTGGTGTGACGTGGTGTCTGTCGACCCCGCCCTGGACTGTGTACTGTTGCAGGCTTTGGGCTGGTGCAACAGGGATCTTATTGGGGCATGCAGCCCACCTCTTCTATCCGAGGAGGAACTTAGCTATTGATGTAATTAAGCCAACGTTAAGCTCGCGATTGGTCGAGGAATGGTTGAGGTGGGACTTAAACCTCCCGTCAACGCGCCTCAGCCCCATTGTGCGGCGTGTGTTCTGCCGGCTGAGCACCTCTCCTGACGCGTCCCATCCCCGCCTCCCTCAGCGAGCGGGCTCTATTTTGCCGGAGGATCTGCCTCTGGAGATCGAGCCAGGCTGGATGAGGCGCAAGTCCATGTTGAGCTCGCACAACGTCAACATCGCCCGCCGGCTGTCGTCTGCCGCCAACCTGCCGCTGCCAGAGGACGAGCTGGTGAGTCACGGGTCACGGTCAGACGAGGAGCTGGCGAGTCACGGGTCACGGTCAGACGAGGAGCTGGCTGAGTCACGGGTCACGGTCAGACGGGCAGCTGGTGAGTCAGCGAGTCACGGTCAGACGAGGAGCTGGCGAGTCACGGGTCACGGTCAGACGAGCAGCTGGTGAGTCGCGGGTCACGGTCAGGCGAGCAGCTGGCGAGTCATGAGGTCCACCGCTGCCCGAGGACTGACTCAAGGGTCTCGGTGCTCGTCCAACTGCGCACTGCTCATGTCTCAAAGCCTGTTTATGTGACCTGGCCGACTTCTGCATGTGACCCAGCCACGCCCTGTATACATGCCACTCGGCTGACCTCTCCGCCGCGCGCGGCGCCGGCAGAACTGGCTGCGTCGGATCTCGACCGCCTCGCCGGAGCTACCGATGGCGCGCCCGTCGCTGAGCGACGCCCGCCGGCCGTCGCTGCTGCCGCACGACGGGCGCCGCTCCTCGACGCTGCCCTCCGACGGCAGGCTGGGCGCGCTGGCGCCGCCGGCCGCGCACACCGGCCGGCGCACCTCTATCGTCGACGGGCTCAAGACCAGCCTGGCGCGACGGCTCTCCGTGTTCGGCGCCACCGTGCAAGACCAGAAGTACGGGGGCTTGGTGGCGGACGGACGGGACGGGGTGGGGTGGCGCGCCGTGCTTTTGTGTGGGTGGTTTGTGCGTGTGTTGATGTTACGTCCGTCTGCAGTTATGCCTGTCGACGGAGTCTGAACTCAAGGTATGACCGTCCTAGTGAGAACGATGCACAGAGTGGTGGTAATCTGAACTAAATGTATAACTGTTCTAATGAAGACGGTGCAAGAGCGGTGGTAATCTGAACTCAAGGTATAACTGTTCTAATGAGGACGGTGCACCAGAGCGGGCGGTACTCACTCGCCAACGTTTCCCGTATCCATCTTTTGCTCCCAATGCTTGAATAATGGACCATGCACAGCCTATATTTTAACCGTAGCCACTCGCCAATCGGCATGGCTCCACCTTTGCGCTAGAAGTGGAGCCTCCTGCTCGTGACTACCCCTGAGAGGCTCCAGGGCACGCCTCTCTGGAGGCCGTCAGGCTGCCCACCACTGACCGCCGCACCCTCGCCACCCACCACAGAGATCATGGATGAGGAGGTGGGCGGGCGGCGTCGACTCTGTCTTCCTGCGGCCGACATCACCGAGCCAGGAGCGACGCCCAGCTGTTGCGACACGCCATTCGAGACAACCCCTTCAAACAAGGTGAGGACGGCTGGCACGTGCCGGAGACGCCACCCCACCCCGGAAACATCGGGCTCGCCAATACCCCGAGTGGCTGCGGCGGATGTTAGAGGAGCTGACAGGTCAAGTGCATGAGCCTGACGCGCTACCGCTGCTCTAGGAAAAGTGCCCTTTGCCTTGACATTACCGTTATGCAAAAGCTCGGTAGACTTTAAAACGGTCTCAGCAAGCTGCATGAGCCCACTTTCCGTGATAAGCTTGAATATTACGACATTGTCGCCGTGGCGACGGTAGACACCACAGACTACACCAGTGGGACGAAATCTAACCAGTCGTGAGAAGATCCGCCTGGAACTACAAAGCTAATTACGTGGCAGCTTGTCAGCTGGGCTGTCGCGGCGTGTCTAGCGGCGTGTGAGGCGCACGGGGACTCACCGAACGACCGACAGGCGCGCGCCAGACGGCTCCCTCACCTTCTGCTGTCTCTGTGGAGACCAAACAATCATTAGCTTATCTCCGAGGTGCTCCACGCTGCAGCTCAGCCCACGCCATGGGCACGGCGGTGTCTCGCACTGACTGACCGCTGGCGCCGCGTGCTGTCATTAACGTCGCAGTGTCATTGGCAACGGCGTAGTGTCACTGCTGGATGTCGTTGCCGTGCCGGGCTGCGCTGACCCCGCCCCCCCCCCCCTCCCCTTGCCCCGCCCGCAGCTACACTTCCGCTACAACCCGAACCTGATCGACGAGGAGGACCAAGAGATGGAGTCGCACCTGCGGCGGCGGCGCATGAACGCGCGCCGCATGTCCCAGATGGTGATGCTGCCGCCGACGGCGCAGACCATGCTGGCCGGGCTGGCCGAGCAGGGCGAGAGCTCCGCGCAGGATTCGCCGCTCTCGCGGGCGAGCACGCGCCGTCAGTCGCACCGCATCCGCCGCTCGCTGAAGGAGACGCCGCCGGCGCGCAGCCGCAGCAACTCACTCCAGGTGAACGGTGGCGGAGGGTGGGGTGGGTCATGGGACATGGCGCAGCGGGGGCCGTGCACCTTGACGGTCATGTGCGCGGGAGTGTCGTCTGCGCGTGTCTCTTAGTGATTCAGTATCATCGCATGAAGGCTTGTAACGCGGCATTGTGCTCAACACAAAGCGTTAAGTGTTGTTACATGGAGGGGAGTGAAAGGCGCTTCATTCTCTGGCTGAATGAAGATCGTTGAGGAAACTTGTGGCCATCTGGGCTGGGTGCACCACTCCGTGGTGGCCACTGGCACCTGGTGAGGAACGAGGACTCATCCTGACACGGGATACCATGCCGTTTCATGATAAGACACGTCACACATCCACGATTACATAATGCAGATGAGAATGACGGTGACTCGTGGTACTGAAATATCTTGCAGTTGGGTTCATACTGTGAGGGACAAACATTACATGCAACGGTAATATTTGTGTTCTCACGAATCCATGACAAGGTTTTTTCCACAAAATTCCTCGTGAAACGCTACGGGGTTGTAGATTTGGGGGCCGGAAATTATGCCAAGTAACCCCACGCCTCTCCGCAGCCCTCGCATCTTCAGAACGGTAACCAGCCGCCAGCCTTCGGAACGACCGCCCACAAGGTGCGCTCCGCCTGCCGTTCAGGCTCGTGACAGGCAGCAGCGCTCACTGCCGCCTTCGGCACGTCGGCTGCCAGTCAGCCGGCTTGCTCTGGTGGCTTACATATGTTAATGGGCCGCTTACGTGTGTGCGCAGCCAGACAAGATAGGCGCCGTCAATGTCTGGTCAGCACCGAGCTAGTCTCTGCATTTTGACGCCGGCGTTGTTACTGTTATCGCAGGATCTCGAGGTCTTTGCGCCTCCGTGTACGTCGGTGCCGTGTTTGACCGTACGCAGAGCTGCATGCATTATAGCCGGCACGAGCGCGGCGTTCAGCTGGTCAAGTCTGAGTGGAGAAACCCATCCTTGTGATGTTAGCAATGGAAATTTACCCGGTGTCGCATGTGTTAATAATACCTGCTTAGTGGCCACGGCGCCACCCGTGCTGGTTCCAAGCAATGAGCAATGTAATTGTTTTCCAAGCAGCGGAGGGGTGAGCATGGCCATTTTCGGTTATTTCTGTCCAGTCAGCGTCTATGAGGCCAACGCTAGATTCTCAGAAAGATAGGAGGGGGGGGGGGGGGCTCAGCCCCTCTGGCCGCTTAGCTCCTGCGCCCTGTCCCGGGCCGTCTGCGCTGGCCTGTGACCACCTGGGATGACTTTTGACTGCGCCTGCTGAACCCTGACCGCCCGTGCTGACCCCTGACCGCCCGTGCTGAATCCTGTCCGCGGTGCCGGCAGGCCTGGGTGGCCCCGTCGTTTGGCGGCGGCTCCTCATCGGCAGAGCCGGCGCGCGACGCTGAGCGCGGCGGCCACACCAACCCCACATTCGTCATCACCGAGGAGTCAGACTTCGAGTCGGAGACGGCCACGCCGCCGGTCTCGGAGGTGTCGTCGGGCCGGCGGACGGGCGCCTCCAGCCCGCGGCGCTCCTCCGCCGAATCTCGCGGCTCGCCGACCGCGCACGACCGTCGCCGCGCGCCGGCATCGACGCATATGTCGCCAGCCACGTCACCGGTGGCGCACTACCGGCGCAGGTCCCCGCGCGGGTCGCCCGGGTCGACGAGGGCGTCGCGGGCGCCGCGGGACCGCTCCCGGTCGCCGCAGGGGTCGCAGGGATCGCCGCAGACGCCGCGGACGCCGCAGGAGGAGCGCCAGGCGCCGGGGCTGCGCGGCGCGCAGGGCAGCGGTCGGAGCTCGCCAGATTCGACCGTCTCGGCGCCGCTGCCGCTGCGGCCGGTGCCGACCATCTCGGTCACGGCGGACGAAGAGGAGCCGGCGTCGTCGGCCGTGACGGAGGAGAGTCCGCCCGACGACACGCCAGAGGTCTGCGTCAGTAAACTCTGAGGTGGGTCAGACGCGGCAGCCGGCGAACTGTGGCGCGGCGAACAGCCGCGCCAACACGGCGCCAGATTCGTGACACTCGTGGATGAGTGACGCGGTGGCGTGACGCCCACTTAGGCGCAATAGCCGAGGCGGCGGGGCACCAACACCAACTCCATCGACTCGGCAGTTCCTATGCAGTCTGACGAGCTTGACGGCCACGAAACTAGCGGCGGAGGTAGGAGGTGAGAATGGTACTCACACTCCCTCCACTGCTGAAGCTCAGTGTTGCCCGTCGCAGACCACGAGCTGGAAGTTTTCAAAGGAGAAGACCCGCATCCACTACGGCCTATTGCTCAAGCGTATGACACAGGCAAGCTGGAGCCGCGTGCCTGACTGCCACGCCGGCTCCTCCGTGCCGGTCAGGAATGGATACGCTTCGGACTTTCCCGATGACACCGAGGCAAGAGCACTCTCCGCTCTGCAGCGTCACGCAGCCGGGACTGTCGCCTTCCGGGAGACGCCGTTCCCAGGCAGTGGTGGTAGAGCGGCGCCGGCCGCTGGCGCCGGCCTGCGGCGCGGTCCACTGTAGTCGCACACCTCGTGGTCTGGTCCGGTATGGCCTGGTCCGGTATGGCCTGGTCCGGTATGGTCTGGTCCGGTATGGCCTGGTCCGGTATGGCCTGGTCTGGTATGGCCTGGTCCTGTATGACCTGGTCCTGTATGGCCTGGTCCTGTATGGCCTGGTCCGGTATGGCTCGATCTAGTATGGCCTGGTCCGGTATGGAGTGGTTTGGTATGGCTTGGTCCGATATAACCTGGTCCGGTGTGGCGTGGTCCGGTATGGCGTGGTCCGGTATGGCGTGGTCCGGTATGGCGTGGTCCGGTATGGCGTGATCCGGTATGGTCTGGTCCGGTATGGTCTGGTCCGGTATGGTCTGGTCCGGTATGGCGTGCCGTGGTTCAGCGCTATACTGGCACTTGCGGTCGGCTAGGTCGCGGCCGCGCCGGCTCTGCCTCCGCCATCAGTGTTGCCTGCGAACTAGTGCTCGGCCGTTGCTGGACAAGAGGGGAAGGCGTTACGAAGGGGAGGGGGGAGGGGTGGTCTGGTTGACAATGTAGGCTGATGGTGTGTTATAACTCCGAGTGCATGACGGAAACTGTTGAACTCAGGTGCATCCCGAGTTTTGCCAAATTGGTTGTGGCGACTTTCGACTGATGCTCCGAAGTTGAGATGTGTCTGTTTTTCTAGGAGTCGCTCATTTTTAAATGTTTTACTCTGCAAGTTTAAGTGTGCTTATCAGCGTCCCAGCCGCAAAGGGATTCAAGACTGTTTTTCATTCGATGCGCCGTTTCATCAGGACCAGTCGATGGTGTAGTGCTGTAGCGTGATCCCAATCCGGCCTGTTTCACTCTCGAAACGAATGTATACATGTCTGACCTTGCAGCTGTCGGGCTCGAAACGTGCGTCTAAGCCGTGTGCAATTTACGTGTCCGTGCGCTGGCAAGCTAAGCGTTTGTATCCGCCCACTCATCGATGCAAATGGCTGAATACTAATACACGGACAACTGAAGCAAGGCAGCATCGCCGCTCGTTCCTTTCTTGTGGCTCCTTCTCTGATGACGGGAGACCATGTCTGCCTGTGTCTCCACGCTCCCGGCGCCAGTCAGCGCCCCTGGCGGCCGCTCAGTGATTCGCGGCTGATCCTGGACTGATACGACATCTCCGGTGCTCCGGGCGTTCGCTGTCGGAATCACGGGACGTCCCACACCGCTGTTGCTGAGGTGGCGCCACAAGCGGCCGTCTAGGTGGCGCTGTCGGCGGGTCAAACCGCGGAGGCCGACCGCTCGCCACACAACATGGGGAACTAAACCTCAAAGTTATCCGTGATTAAAACGACCGGATGATGCCGCCACTGTTTATTTCATGTGATCGGGACCGATCAATGATCGTCTCGGGCTGAGCGCCCGGTGTGAGATCCGGCTTACTTCAGCTGAGCCAGCGCCTGGTCACCCAATCTCCACAAAGCCTGCACCGAGGGTGCGACCGGCACGCTGTCGGCGCCGCTCGGAGCCGCCGTGCGAAGCTGACGCCTCTGCTGACGCCCTGTCAGCGGGACCATCCGCTGACTGTGACCACGATGACGTCACTGGCCCGTGATGACGTCATCGGCCGGCAGGCGTGCAGCGCGCCGCTGGCCGGCCGCCAAGGGGTGCTTCGGTCGATGACCGACCCGGCCCCTGCCGCCGCCGGTCCACCCGCCGTCGGCCGCCGGAACGCGACCAGCCCACTCGTGGCTTTCGGCGCGTTGCATCAGCGGTGTCGGCGAGATGCATTGCTTGCGGTCGGCAGCGCGCTTGTGATGTGAGGTCATCGGGAGTATGAAGCGTTTTATTGGATTTGGGCTTATTGTTCCAACCTGGTGTGTGTCCTTCGGGGTTTATCGAAAAGCCCAGCTGTGCGAACAGACGTAGCGGAAGAGCTATACAGCGTTCCACACTGTGAAAAGGGGCTGCCAATGCCTCCTAGACCGAGTGAACTTTATTGATCGCATACCTCTCTCCATTCCCTCATGGGTAGACGGATTAACTGTGCCGCTTAACCATGGCGATGTAGTAAAACAAACGCAGTTACAAACTTCTGATTCTGTTGGGTGCGACCGGCTCCACAAAAGACGCTAGCTCAAAGGCATGTTCCAGTTACGTGAAAGTGACGAAACGAGATGCGTCATACCAATCTGTAAAGTGACGTAGCCAGCCAAATCACATTGATAAACAATTGGTTCGCTCAAATTCGACACGCCAGGTGACAGCACGAATGCTCGGAAACATTAAGCAGAGCTTCTGGTGCCGCCCAGGGTCTCTACCACAGTGGTTCCACCTCAGCCCTCGTTTTTCCGTTTGTTCGTTCGTTCGAATGAGAAGAACGCACTTAAACCACACGCTTCACAATGAGGGTTTTCTCGAACAATAGCTCCAGCGAGCGCATAGGGAAACCAACCTAACCCGACCACAGGCGATATGTGGCTGGTGATAGGAAGTTCTTCGCGTTCACAATGGTTCGTTCCTGGACATCGATGTAATACGGCGTTAAATGTGTGAAGCACGTACCGACGCTTATCGCCAGCTCCCCATCACGCTAAGCCTAACGCCAGTACCCACTGGTTGCAAGGACGCAGCCAGTCCTTCGTTCTAGTCATCCCATCAGGCGATCATTCGTGGCCATCCACCTGGGCTACACTGGACAACCGGCGCTTGACTCCTGTGCACGTGACGCTCAGTCTGTGCCTCGCAGCCGGCTCGCCTGCGGCTGTTGGTCTGCCGGCGGCGGCAGACGACAGGGCGCCCAAGGCGGCGGGCCTCCGCCAGCGGTTGGCCCGCTGCCAGCACGGTCTGCCGTGGCGGACCGGCTGCCCTGGCTGCGTCTGCCGCTGCCGCCCGGGGCCAGGCGGCGACCCCGCTGATCCCAGCAACAGGCTGGCCTCGGCAGTCACTGCTGGACTGCCTGGAGGGGCAGGCTGCCTGTGTTGGCAGCGGAAGCGTGACGCCTCGTTGACACTGTTCGTCTGAAGCGGGGAGGGGCAGGGGGGGGGGGGGGGGTACTGGCGGACCGCGGACGGGAAACCTGGCCTGCTACGTCGAAGGGGACGAGATTGTCTGTCTCCTGTGGTCTTCGGGGACGAATGGGCGGCCTCAGGTGCTGTTTGACAAGTGGATGTCGGCGTCGGCACTTATCAGTACCGACGTTGTTTGACGCATTACCCCGATCAGGGGGATTGGCGGATGCCACTAGATTCGAGTGACGTCATCTACAGCAGTTACAGACGTGCTTCCCCAGCATGCGTACACAGAGCGGTACCTAGCAACTCAAGTTCTCGGCAAATAAATCCGATATGTTTGACCACATGCCATTCCTGTGATCTTGCAGCGCATTTCCACCTGACATTACTCATCAAACGTCTAGCAAAAAAGGTTTCAGGTAGCAACAAACAGCATAAAACTGGCGTTTGCTGAATGTCCTGTGTCGTGAAAGGTGTTCTTTTCCCTGTTGACGCAAGTACATTTGCAACATTTGCGTGCACGTGCGCGCAGTATGCACTCCAGAGCGCGCACAAATTATTCTGTCCATTCCCTGTCGCGCTTGCAAATAAAAATGCTGCACACTTACATTCCCAGTGTAATATTTCGCTTGTTTGTTATCATTATGCCTCTCTCCCCCACATGACACCGCACTGCAAATGTCACGTAAACAGCACACACGTAATCGATTTTGTCATCGGGTCGGAACTTGCCAACATCCAGAGCTGGCAGCCATGGCCGCTGGCTCATCGCCGCGACGCCGCCGTCGTCCTTCGTCCGCACCATCGGCGGTGTTGGTCGGAGGGTCACGCCGACGGCCCTGTCGGCGCGTAATGGGAGGGCGGGCGCGCGCGTGCCAAGCCGCCCCGAGCCGAACGCATCGAAGCGGCGCCAATTCAGCCGCCGGCTCATAAAACAAACAGCGCCACTTCCTCGAACCGGCGGTAGGTGCGCCGTCTCGCCGCACCTCCTGTCTGGGTCTGAGCCCGGCTCTGGCTCGGTGGCGGAGCGCCGACAGAGGCGTGGTGACCCTCCGGCCGTCCCTACCAGACCGTCCGCGGTACGCGCCTACTCCGAACGCGACCCGGCTCCACTGCCAGCGGCCGCGGTGCCAGCGCCGGCGTCAACTTCGCGGAAGGCGATGCGCCCGCCACCTGTCGGTCGCACGCGGAACTCCGAGGATCGGGAAGGAGGGTGGGCTTTGCCCAGTTTCTTTGTCCTGTAAATTATGGAGAACGGAATCATGGCTAGGAACCTGATGTCACCAAGTCTGTTGTTTTTCTCCGGCAACGTGTGAGCAACCGAAAAGGACCGGAGCATTACCTGTTGTGATGGCGCAGGACCTACAAAACTCCCCAGAAGTCATGTTCAATAGCATTAACGTTTCATGCCTTCGGCACAATATAACTTTAGTAAAACCAGGCTAAAGTCAATGTCCTGAACTC